CCCCCACAAAAAAAAATCTGCACATGATGCAGAGCACTTGAGTATACACCAAGAAACTGAGGGAGAGGAGGAGACGAGAGCATGTGGGGACGTCAGAATACAGAGCTCTGGTTGGAATGATTAGAGGGTAGACCTAGCTGCCTTTGTATCCACTGCACTCATCAAAGGCGTTTGAATGTGAAAGCCATACCCTGGACACCAGCGTTCCGCGTTCTAATGTGTTCGAATGAGAGAACAAAACGCTGGATGCCGGCGTTCCATCTTCAAATGTGTTCGACGACTGCAGCAGAGACAGAAGCTATCTTTGTCTCCACTGCACTCGTCGAACGCATTCAAATGCAAAAACCAAAAGCCAGACACCGTCGTTCCGCATGTGCAGAACAGACAAAGGCAGCTAGCTTTAGGTCTACCCACTAATCGTTCCAATCAGAGCTCTGCGTTCTGACGTCCTTGCACTCTCGTCTCCTCCTCTCCCTCAGTTTTTCGGCACAGAGTTCTGGGAGTTTAACAATGGCTAGCGAAAAATCCAACAGACAGCACCACATCCACAAAAAAATAGCTTTCTTTGGCATTTCCCAAAGGTGTTCTAAATTGCATAGCATTCATAGGATCTCTTCGCACCCTACCCGTCGCTTGGAGTCCACTTCAGGACTCCGGGCAACGTCCACTCGGAGGAGGGACCGTCCCGTGTGATCTGGCTGGTCCCTTGAAAACGGGAAACGTGTAGGGAAGTGTGAGAGTAGGCCAGAAGGGTGGCATACTCTCCCCGACATGATACAGAACGAGCAGGCTCGAAGCCAGGCGACTCCGGCCGGAATGTCTGCAGCTTACACCTTCTCAGGGGAGGGAAACCAGTGGCTCCCGCAAGTCACTCGGTTTTTCTCTAATGATCTTGTCAAGACTTCTTCAATACCCGTATCAAATAAAAGCGGTCATGACCGAAAACGTTACCCGAGAGATGTCCTTTGTAATGGAAGCACCCGACGAAATCGGTGACGAAATGGCGTGTTTTGATGTACGGACCCGAGAGAACGGGTCAAGCGGAGGGCTGAACATGGACGCTGAAGTTCAGGCTCACGAGGTTCAAGAACTGGACGAGTTGATTCGGTCCTATGGTGATGTCTTCGACGATAGGCCAGGTAGAACCACGAGATCTCAAAGAGCGCCGACCCGATTGCGTCGAAAGCGTACAGGGTTCTGTACAGTATCAAGGTGGGGGTACAGGAACAACTGATGGAAATGCTGGAAATGGTGCATCATACGGACATCGACAAGTCCGTGGGCATCCCCGATAGTATGCGTGAAGAAAGACAACAGCATGAGGATCTGTGTCGACTTCAGGAAGCTGAACGCGACAACACAGGATGATGCCTACCCCATGCCTTCACTCCCTGAGATGATTGAGACTGTGGGGAGAGCCAAAATAATCGGCACCCTTGACATGTCCCAAGGCACCTGGCAAATCGGTTTATCAGAGGAAGCTTTTTTTAAGACAGCATTCCGTACGGACACCGGCTAGTACGAATTTACGGTGATGCCGTTCGGACTGAAAGGAGCACTGGCGACATTCCAAAGGTTGGTGGACGACCTCCTGAAAGAGCACTGAGACTTCGCTCGGACATACTTAGATGACATAGCGGTGTTCAGCAACACGTGGCAGGTGTTCGGCAACACCTGCTTCATTTGTGCACCATCCTAAAGAAGTTGCGTCAGGAAGGCCTGGCTCTAAAAAATAAACAAGTGCCAGTTTGGGAGGTGGGAAGTGCACTACCTGGGGCACGTGATTAGGGATGGGCAAGCACAACCTGACCCTGAAAAGATTGAGACTATCCAGGCGATCGAGAGGCCCCACACGAAGACAGAAGTCCGTTCCTTCTTGGACCTAGTTAACTTCTACCGGAATTTCATTGAAAACTTCGTGGAGCTGGCCGCACCGCTGACCGACCTCCCACATAAGGCTGAACCTAAGCAAGTAGTGTGGACGCTGTCATGCGAGAGCGCATTCAGCGCACTGAAGGAGAGAATATGCAGCAGTCCAGTGCTGCGGAGCCCAGACCCGAGTCGACCCTATATACTCCAAGTAGACGCTAGCAACAGGGTGATCGGGGCCATTCTAGCTCAAACTAGCGAGGGCGTCAAGCACCCCGTTGCGTATGCCAGCCGTAAGCTACTTCTTTGTGAGAAGAAGTATGCAACAATTGAGAAGTGTCTGGCAATTGTGTGGGCCATGAAACATTTTCATGTGTATGTTGATGGACAAAATGTCACAGTCCAGTCGGACCACAACGCGCTCCGATGGCTAAACAACAGCAGGCAGAACAATGACCGTCTACAAAGTTGGAGCCTGTTGCTGCAGGCCTACCAGATTAAGATAGACTACAAACAGGGTTGCTTGCATTCGAATGCGGACGCCTTGTCGCGTATCTATGGGCACTATGATCAGAATGTAGTGCCCTGCCAAGGCTTGCGATCTGCTTCTCCACTGAACATGTAGTCGCAAAGATTTTTCTTTTATTTTTACAAACCTAAACATTGAGAATGTGAAAAAAAAAAAAAAAAAAAGTTTATTGTATTCAGAGCATTTCACTTGTGCGTGTCTGCTTCGGATGCTTAGTTTTATAAAGCAGTATTACAGGAGGAGTTGCACTGTGCAATGAAAACAATGGGCGTTTCGTGAGCAGAGGCTCGCAAATCTTGTTTTTTTATGTTATCATTTCGGTTAAAGGGGCGTGTTGCGTAATTTTGTATCTTTTTGCCTTCATCGGGGGTTCGAGCATCTTTACTACACCTTGCGTGCCCCCTCCCGGGGTCGATGGGCCCCAAGTGGAGGCGCCAACATGAACATTATAACCTTACACCTGTTTATATAGAACTCCGCATATAACTTCTTTGCCTACAAAGGTACTTTGTATTATTTTAGCTGCCCTTGACGCACATTGTGCCGCATTATGCCGTTGATGGCATGTCCCATCCCGTGTTGTCGACCTTTCGAGGTTGTACGGGGAATCGGCTATTGTAAACATGAGAGGTATATTAAGGACTTGTAAATGCTTCTTTTGCATCTTGCAACTTGTAAATTAAGGGGTCGACCTATATTCCAGTTTATACAGTATCTTCCGTGCACCCCTAAGCTGACAGTGCTGTGGAAACTATGTGCTCGTTGGGCCGGTCACACTTGTATCTTCAGCCACATGATCATGCTCCCTTGCACATACCCACATATGCAGAATGGGGTCAGGTGATGATGGACAGGAGGGCGGGCGAGGTTTGTCAACTGAAGTCCCAATTTTTCAACCCCGCAAGGATAGTGAGAGATCTCACGGTAGCTGATGTTGGTTCTGAACCTTACTTTATCCCATTGATGTATTTCAATGTCTGTGTGGCAACAAACTGAAAGAAAAATTGAAAATGAAGCACAGGTTGTCGATTGCTTGCTTCACAGAATAAATAGCCCAGCTCGCGTCCGATTTTGCTGCCCGTGGGACGCAGTTTCTTAGCAGAAAATCCCCTTTTTTTCGGTTCTCGTTCCTTATGGCGGAAAAACCCCAGTCGTCTGCTCTTGTTCCTCTCCCGAGTGATGCATGACGGGAGTGCATTCTGGTGCACACTTGATTCTCAAGGTGCAGCGAGTGCATAGACGTGTGGAGTGGCGACGCCAAAATGAACGCGTGGAGTGTCGGCCGAAACAAACATGCTCCATGTTGCGAGTGGGTACGCATGGGCACGAGTGCCCATGCATACATGTAGTCATACACTGTGCACGAGCATGTGGCTTCGACTTTTATCTTGTTTGCGTGCAGAAGTGGCTTCAACGGCATTGCAGAAATTACACTAGCCTTGACAATGAAGTACAAAAAGGTTTACGCCAAGTCTAGACACTGTTGCAAGATCACCGAGCCAGGAAACCTAAACCGAGCCACCACTAAATGTGTTCCGTTTCAAAATGGTGTAATTGGCAAGACTGAACCGCCACCAAATGTGCTCTGCGGTAGAGCACAAAAGTACATCACCAGACATGAGTGTCCAAAATGTACTTACAATGGCTAGCGGCGCCTCATAAAAGTCATGCAATGACCCTCTGCTTGGCCACTTAAGCCACATGCAGTGCCGTGCAGGGTACAGGACGGCATCCATGGTGCAGTGATCCAGGGTCCCGCCCGTAGTGTTCCGCTGCTGCCTTGGACAAGGTGAAAGCCAGCTCACTGATGTCATGGTCCCCGGTACCTGTGGTGTGTAACCATTGTGTTTAAAGGTTATACAGCCACCGACCGATATTGCAGACCCGATGGGGATCGTGCAGAATTCCGAATAATTGAGCAGTATGAAAAAATGATTTTAGCCTAAAAATCACTTTATTATTACGACTTAAAACGCAAAGTTGCTGCAGCAAGTGATCGATGGTTTGCTGTACGGCATGGTACTGTATGGTACTTCGCATTTCAGCGAGTCATTTTGTCACTGTATACAGACGAAAGCATTCGGACAAGTTACGCGCTCACGGCTGCACAATGCTCGCCAACTGTAGGGCCAGTCGGTAGACTTTCCCCTCGGTGAAGGGCAAAGTCCGGTTTGTAAACGCTGTGCCGCTGGAATAAATGCGCAGATTGAGCGCTACTTCCTTGGCGATACAATCGCTGCCTTCTCACGTCGACACACGGGAAATACCGCAAACAAAAGCAGACGCCGTCATGACTTTGCAAAGTAAAACCGGAGAGGCCAAGAGCAGAAGAATTGCTTAGAGTGCTGACATGCTACGAGGCATCAGCAACCAAAACCTGCCATTTAAAAAAAATATATACTAGTTTCTTAGCAGGACGTGACGTCACGACAACTGACAGCAGTGATTGGCAGGCGGTGTGCATTCTTGCCACTGAATTCATAACCTGTCACCGAATGTAGTTTTTAAACATGGCAGATATAATCTGGCCTGTTTTCGTCCACAATGCTGCCGCCTAGTCTGTCGCATAAATTATTTTTGTTGCTAAGGGGCGATTGGGGCTTTACGTAAACATAGGCTGGACGTGCGTGTGGGAAAAATAACACGAATGACGGCCCCCAACATTGGCTCTTCAAACAAACTGCCAGAAAACAAAAAGGCCAATATGTCAACATTTTTGTCCTTTCCCCATTTTTGGTGGCTGTCGTGTCAGATTGAAGTATAAGTAACTAGTAAAATAAAAATAAATAAAAAAGTACATAACAAAAGGTGTAAATAAACTCTGTAGATATAATACCAGTCCCAATGGTTTAACAAAGAGGCTGGCTTTCTCAGAATGCCCCCCTCTCACTCGAGTCCGTATTGAATCTTAATATGAAGTTGCCCCGAAAAAGCTGCAGAAAATGCACATAGTGACAGAGCCCATAAAGACCACACCTGCCTTTCACATGGCCTTTCGAACTAGATGCAGTACAGGACGCAGAACGGTACCCATGGGCTAGCTGCAGCTGTAGCCCAGTGCTTGTAGTATCTCGCAGCTGATGGAAGGGAGGGAGGCCAGCTCCTTCATGCCGTGGTACCGGGAAAAACAATACAGATAAGCCACAGACGTCAAGCGCCTTGAGTATTTCTGTGCATCCACGAAGCCAATCTGGGACAGCAACGACAGAAAACTTCAGTAACACAGTGAACAAAAGAGTAGGCATGCAGGCGAGCTGTGAATTCTGAACACAGCTAAAACCCAAGGCACAAGAAAGCAGAAAGGAAGAGGCCTTTTCACTTCCTTGCATGTCGGGTTTAAGTCTCGCACGGGGTAGCAAAAAAGCAACAATACTGGCTCCCTAGTCTTTTTCTGCGTCAAGAAGCCTTGGAACAAAGAAATCCTACTGGTTATTCATCTTGTTTTCTCTTCTCGGGCGGATTATAGTGCACGGTGCGGAAGCAAACTGCCTCGAAAGGGCTCAACTCACACTTCCAAGAAAATGATTGGCGAGCGACCTCTCCATTGTGTGCTATGTGCACTGTACGTTTTAAGCAGGTCTGTTTTCTGCTAACACAACAGCGGTAGGAATGTTACTTGTGTCGAGCTGGAGAAGCCATAGTGGGGGCTACCCCAGCTACGCCCACGCTGGCTCTAATGGCGGTTACGTGCAACGCAGACAGCTTTCCCCATTTCAACCGAGTGCCTAGGCAGACACAGAAGCAGCCACATAAGACGATCGAGGGAAGACGCAGAGTTGTACAGGCGAAGAGGGAACGACATAGTGTAGCGAGCTTTTTAGTCCAGGCTATTCCTCCGAGAAATGCAGTCGGTGGAAATGTATGTCAGTTGTTCTTGCCATTAATTTAGGTAACGAATGCAAACATTATACTATTTTGCATCTTTTTCTACTGCAATGCTGGTCACCCGCAACGAAAAAACGCCACAAACTGAAAGAAAGTCTGGTTGCAATGTTAACACGGACACCAAGTCCACCAGGAAAAGCCATCTGTGCCATCCACCTGTTCATAAGCGAGCTGGAGTTTATCAAAGCACAACCGAGACTCTCTCGGGAGTATTTGGTTCCTTGTCACTAGTTATTGAATGAAAACACAGTGCAGTGTTGATTACTGTCAGCGCAGCCTTGCCACTAGCACTGCTGTCACTCGGGTGGCACATATTTCGCTGGCACGACATGGCCTGCGAGCCACATATATCCCTAAAAGGAAGCTGCATAGAATGCACTTACCGTGGCTAGCGTCGCCGCCCAGAGAGCTTGCACAAAACCTCCGCATGACACGCAGTGCAGTTCAGAACAGAGCAGCACTGGCTAGCCAGTTGCTGCGAAGGCTTGCAGTGCCTTGCTGCTGCAAGTCACCTCCTTCATGCCTTGTGGTACCCATCAGTTTCAAAACAAACGCTGATGAACCACGACCAGCCATCACCTGTAGCACAAGGGGGAAAAACATATGAATGTGCAGTCTCCTATCTGTTTGCTTTTGTCTAACGTCTCCGAGTTTTCTTTGAGAAGAAAACAGCAATGACACTTCTTTCACAGTAATGTGCAAAAGAAACAAAAACGGCTCGGTTATTATACTGCCTCGTAAGTTGTGTGCAGCAAAGGCACGGGTGCGAGGGCACAGCTCTGCAGAATGTCCTTTTGCGCGGGTACTCGTGCAAAAAAGGCGCTTTTTACTGTCATGTGCTCGGGCCTGCGCCTCTGCTGCACACAACTTATGATACAGAGTGTATAGCACGCCTCCGTGAGCACTCGCGTACGGCGAGAAATCCATGATATCCAGGGTACGATAGCAGGAAACCTCGCAAGGGTGCACGAGGCTGCAAGTGCGCCAGAATGTGCAACTGGAGGTGGTGACAGAATGACATAGTTTGAGAACATGAGTTTACTTGGGTCAAAATATAGAAGCGAAAAACGTAACTTCCTTGCCGGCTGATGTTTGGAGCCATCGGAGCACGATCAACTATTTGTTGTGATCGGGGTATTACGATCGGACGCGGGTTGGTAAAGATTTGAAAAACCCGGAAGAATAAAACCTGTTGGGGGCGAAGACAGACAGCGCAGTTCCTTGTTGACATGGGATGTAATATCAAACACATTATTCCGCCGGATCAAATGTTTTTGTTTAATCAGGCTTAGCTCGGAAGTCTGCCGGCAGGTCTGGGATGCGGTTTTTAGAGCTCTTTTGGCGGGCTTTCAGGTTTCTGCGATGCGTGTTTTCATCGTGAGCACAGGCTCAAACAATAGGCAGCGGCGCCAAATGTATTTGAAACGAAGAAGCAGCTCGGACACGTGGAACGAACACATCGAAATCACATCACAGGAAAACGCAAATCACTCACCTTTTGTTCGACGATGGTTCGCAAGACACGATTCAAATCGACGACACTCGATTCGGTCACGATATTCAGGTAAAGGACGCAACAACGTAGGCCTTGCCGTTCCTAATAACTACATAAATACGACGATACGACACGATATCAAACAAAGGAGTCGGAAAAACGCAATCTGAAGCGCAGAAACGCGGTCCCGCGGTTGCAAAAAGCAAGAAAATAAACAAAATAAAAAAAAAAAAAATAATACGTCAACAAAGTAAAAATAAAAAAAAGTTTCCTCGCTAAAAACCGTGACGTCACAGAAAACAAAACAAACAAAAACAAGCAAAACAAAATTTCTTTGTCACGTGACGTTATATTTGTGACGTCACTTCCGGTGACGTCGGGTCACGTGACCTGCCATTATTCCTCCTCCGAATCGCTCGTGTTCGCGGTAGCAGATAGAGCTGATGGTTTTATCGACCCCGGATAGATGGCGCCACTAAAACTCCGCATAACAAAAGTTTTGGCGATGATACCAGTTTTTTGACGAATTTATATTTTTGTGGGAACGATAAGATTTATAGAAAATTGCCTATTAACGAGCAGGTATTGCACAACTCGCTATCGTTTTACAAGTCCCCCCCCCCCCCCCCCCCCTTTGACGTCACGCCGCGTAGTTCTCATGGCTGCCGCTGGCGGCAGCAGGTCGGAAAATATTTTAATCTTTGCCTCGCGATTACGCGGTGGAGTCGAAACATTTTGTAGGAAGGAGATGTGTTTTCGGTCCTTTGTGACAAGGTCAACAACGTCAAAGGTAGAAGGTGCAAGTTCTTTCAACGTTAAAATCGTTGCACAGCTCCTTGAAAGGTCGCCGCATGTCTCAATGATTTCAATTTGTAAAGTGTTAGCCTTAAAGTGTTGCTGTTAGCCTTAAAAAAAATTTCAAGAAGTTTAGGCGGGATTCAAACCAGTGTTGTGCCCGTTACCGAAAAAAAGTAACGAAATAGCGTTACTCGTTAGTTTGGTAAAAAGTAACGCGTTATCGAGCTACGTTCCCCTTTTACAAACGTAACGATATACCGTTACCGTTACTTTTTAAAATAACGAACGTTACTTTTACGTTACTTTTCTGTTCGAGTACATATCTTTGGCAGAGATTATGATAAGCCTCCTTAACAAGCTTGGGTAAAGATAAAAATTTACAGAGTGGTTTCATAGTGTTTTGATGCGCGAAGCAGCTTAATTTTCGGCATGCAGATTAGGCATTGAAACTGTAAATTACCTGATTCTGTCTCCTTTGGTTGATACATTTCATTCAGACCTGCTGGCCATGGCGACGAACTTTCATTATTTATGCCCATCTCACGCGCAGAATGAGTCGGAGATGTTAGTCAATCGGCTTTCATAAACTACAGCATGCGAACGAGAACTGCTGGAACACAACCAGCCAACCAACACCCCTCATCTGTACGCCGGTGTTAGTAACAGTCCGGTTCATACTATTACCAGAGGCTGATATCTCGAACAGGACACCGGTTACCAGCACACTGGCTATAATCACTTGCTGCCTCTTACCAGCAGTAGCTCTTAGTTTTTCTGTGAAAAAAAAAATGTTTCGTGTTTGTAAGTTTTCTTTCCAAGTTCAAGATTATCAAAGTGATAGCGGCGCCTGCACTGGAAGAAGTGCCGGTTTGCAGATACCCGGAGGACCGGGCAAAAACTACTTCCACCGAAAGTCCTCACCGCTGCGGACCCCCGGAAGCAACCTTTGACTGGGTGAGCCAAATTTTCACCAGTTTTGACCAAAACCACTAGAACGCGGGGAAAAGTAGCTATACCCAGCGAAGCCTACTTCACCGGCGCGCCGGCGGCGCTCTTCGCCGTCGAGTGGGCGTCCGGGGGTCCCTCCCCCGCCCCCCGGGCTACCCAAGCATGGAGCCGACTGGACAGGCAATCGGAAATCAAGAGACTGATGGAAACACCATGCCCGAACTCGAGGATATGGACGAGGTGCAGGGCGAAGTCCATACCAATAATACCCCCGGTAATGACGAGCAGCAGTCAGCAGAGGAGACAAACTTTCCGCCCTGGATCAAGATACTTAGCCGGAAACAACAAAGACTTCAAAACCAGGCCTACCGGAAGACTCTAGAAGAATCTAGACGGAACGACGAGCAACCACCCCCCGGCAAGATGCCAACGGGCGCAAAAACCCGCCAGACGTCGAAACCGCAGAAGCGACAGCTCCCACCGCTACCGATTGAGGATTACAAAGTGGTCGTCCGCCCCTTGGATGGTCTGAACCTCGGAGCTTGGGGCCCCGATCAAGTCTACCGAGCCATCAAGTTGGCGGCGAAGCTCACTCCTCTCGAGACTGCGGAAATCAAGACGAGGCTCCGTAAGGACCAGAACTTGGCCGTTGTGAGCACTCCAAGTGTCGACACGTTGGAGCGACTTTGCAATATCTCCTCCATCGCACTCGGAGAAAAGCAGTTCCGAGTAAAACCTTACGCCGCCATGCCGGACGACTCCTGTAAGGGGGTCATCTCGGGCCTCACATCTCGGCCCTCGTCCGAGTGGCTCACTGAAGAACTCAACGCACGGAACACCAACTACATAGTCCTGAACGCTCGAATGATGGGTAGTACGACCTCAGCCATCATCACTTTTCACGGACTCAGGGTTCCCCGCCTAGTGTATATCGATGGCGGCGAATTTGAGTGCAGGGTCTACAGACCCAAAAAACAAGTCTGCACTAAGTGCCTAGGACTAGGACACCGAGAGGACGTGTGCCCTCAGCCTGAAAAGCAACGATGCCCGAAGTGTGGAACTGAAGGCAGTGCCATGGATTCGCACGAATGCGAAGCGAAATGCGTGAATTGTTGCGGGGCTCACCCGGCTACGGACCCTCGATGCCCCGCAAGGCAGCGAGCTCCGTACAACAAGTCACGCGTTCAGAAGTACCTGCAGCAACAACAACACGGCCGCCATCAGCAGGGAAGTCAACGGCCCCAGCACGTGGCTTCACCGCTTCAACCCGGGCAAGCGACCCAGGCTGCACTCCCCGAGGAGCAGTGGCCACGACTACCAACGAGGAGATGGGCGAACCACAACCCGTACGCTCTGCTGGCCTCTGAAACACTCGACAGCAGCCCAACGTCGACGGGCCCTCAAGGTTCAGACACCCGCTCCGGATCCAAGCGGGCCCGGAGCAGATCCAAGGCGAGATCTCGCTCCCGCAGCCGAGCCCGATCCCGGTCGAGACGGAGGATGCAGCAACAACGGTCGGCGCAGGAAGCTGAAACCCGAAAATCAAGGAGCCCCGGTCCAGAGGCCCCGAAGGTGAGCTGGACAGGGCAGCAGCCTCTCACTCCCTCCCAATTCCCCGCATGCCCCCCTTCTCCCGCTCCTAGATCCAGCGTTAGGACACAACACCACACACACAAACAAAACACTCAGCACACGTTCATTGAAAGCAATCCCTGTGCCACCGACACTTCCTTCCTGGATACCTTGAGGCGTGAACTCAGGGAGGAAATGCAGAGCTATCGAGATGAACTCCGCATGATTAGGGAGGAGATGCAGAGATCTAGGGAGGAGCTTAAAAAATCTAGACTTGAGCCACTCGGTCTCAGCGAAGAACTTAAACGCGAAGTAGCCAAACAGATCGCCGAGGCCAGACTTGGTATTAGCAAGGAACTGGATCACATGACCACTACACTCAAAGGGGACATGCAGACTGGCATGGATAACGCCCGTAGACAAATCCTTAAGGAAAATAGAGCCCAACTCCCTGAGCTGGTTCGAGACATTCTCTCCGCGATGCCTCGACACAGGCTCGGGGTAAAGAGCCTCAAGGCAGCGGGACACCGCTCGTCCGGAACAGGGTCTCCCCCAGTTACGCACTTAAGCTTATCCCAGAACCATCCCCAGAACTTTACTCAGGAACAACACAATGGAACGGGACAGTAACAGAGTCAGAGCGGCGGACCACCTGGTCCTCCGCAAACGCCCACCCAGTAACATACGCGTTTGGCAGTGGAACTGCAGGGGCTATCGGCGCAAGCGCGGGGCGCTCACGCAGTTCCTCGCCACACTCGACGAAAAACCTGAAGTTATCGCGATGCAGGAAACCGCGTGTACACCGGCACTCTCGGGATACGTGACTTGTGCTTCAAAACCGGAACACGAGGGCGTACCTCCGAGGGTAGCCACTCTCGTAGCCAAACATCTACCGTTCGTTCCACATCAGTTAGAAAGGGTCACTGGCATACCATATGTCTTTCTCGAGTTGCTCCCGCAGAAACACGGACAGAGCAGTCTTTTCGTCCTTAATTTGTACAGTTCACCGAGGGCGAGAAAAGACACCTTTGACGAGATTTTTAGAGACGCTATCGCCTTAACCAAACCGAGCGAGAATACGCTTCTCATAGTAGGGGATCTGAACGCGGCCCACCCGGCATGGGGATATTATCAAGAGTCGGTGAAGGGACGAAAACTAGCCACGGCCATAGACAGAAATCAGCTTACGCTCCTCAACGAGCCGGATCAGCCCACGAGGGTAGGAAACAGCGCGAGCCGCGACACGTGCCCGGACCTCTCTCTCGCCAGAGCGAGAGGCCCGTGCACGTGGACCAACCTCCAGGAGAGTCTGGGCAGCGATCATTTTATCATTCAAATTCAAGTTCCAGTGCAGGCTCATCGTAGACACAAGAAGGCCCTGCGGTTGGTCAACTGGGACTCGTTCCGCCAGCTCAGGGCTCAGACAAACGCCGAAGAGATAGATGAAAACGTACCATTGGCACAATGGGTAAGAAAACTCCACGCCGACATTCACAGAGTAACCAAGACAGTTCAGACGACGGACAAGGCGCCCGTCGTTGACCCGCATCTTCTCCATCTATGGGAAGCCCGTCGTGGCCTAACTAAAAGATGGAGAAGACAGAAACATAATCGGAAACTAAAAATTCGCATAG